AATTACTTGCAGCAATAGCCGATGTAGCGAATCAACCAAGTTTGGGGGGGGGGAGGTTTGAATGCTTTCATTAAGGAGGCCAGACTTGGTGGAGGTGGTTGACAGGGGCAGAGCTGCAAGCTATTGAAGGCTGCTCTGCCCCCTGCTGTGCTCTTTGCTTCAGCATGACCCTAACCCCCCCCCCTTCCCCCTGAAATTTTCAACCTTCCCCGAAATTTTTTTCTGGCTACGGCCCTGCCCAGGCCATATTTCTTCTGTAGTTATGTACAGCAGTTGTTCAAGTATTGTATCTGATTTGTGGATTAGAAAACTGCAACATTAAACATATTTACTCAGAAGTTAGTCTGCAATCCTCGGCATACTTGCAAAGAAATCATACTGAAACCCACCAGTCTTACTTCAGAATAGTCCGTTGAGGGGTCATAATGAAGACTCTACTCTGAATGCCAAATACTTCAGGAACATCACTGCTTGCATTGTTTTCCAGCTTAGGTCTTTAGGACAGCTAGAGGAGCTGTAACTTAGTCCTGGTTCCACATTTACATGATAAGCATTTTGAGGACAATGTTGTTTATATCCATTTGGATCAACAAGTCACAATTCCAGAATACGTTCAGGACACTATCTGGCCAGTTTTGTACAGTTTAATTTCTTACAACACAGGGTTAATTTCTTACTGTCAGTTTTTTCAACAAAGAGCAAGTGGGAATCAACCATTTGGATCCAACAGGAGCTTAATGTGTACTTATGAGCAGGGCCATCGTAACAGCATTATAGATCCCAGGGCAAAGTAGTGCACTGGGCCCTGTCTACACAACCACTCACAGTTGATAAAATACAACTTGTGTTTATTCGTACCACATAATATTTTCATAGTTTCTTTTTCCTCACTTCGCTTTTTTGCACTTCCTCTAACCCTTTGCCACACAAATATAATCCTTCAAAACAAACAGCTGATATTCTGCATCTGAAAATAGAAATGTACATTGTTAAGCCAATAATTGCCTCCCATGAATCATTACAGTATTCTGCTTCCATAATATTGTAAGCAATAAAAACATTACATTTCTCTTGCAAATGCAGACATGCCAACACTCCACTACAAGTCGTAATTTTGCTCCTTCTGCCAACTTAGTGTGAGATTTGAATGTTGAGGTAAGTGATTAGAAAATTAGTGTAAAATTTTGATTTGTGCATAGATTAGCATGGGGCTTCTATGCTTCTGAGCCTTCCAGGCAAACTGCCCTAAATATCTATGCGTTAAGACAGCACTACTTGTGAGAAATGCTCTAGACACCTTTGAAAATGATGGTTATGAAGCTGTTTCCTGATAAACTGTTCTCAGAGCCTTGAGAACTTTATTGACTATCATATTGACATAATATCCTACTGTTGAACAAAGAATGAAAATGAATGCTTGCTGCATCGCTTACGTCATTCTTGACTTACCCAGATCCATTTTTAGTCTGGGTGCAGGCCTGTTTGGCATGCAGAGTTCATTGATAGCCCAGATGATTGATCTGTACTAGGAGAAGGACAGTACTAGGAGAGAATGTTTCTGTCCATACATTATATATTCATCCATGCTAAATTATGAAACTTCCCATTCCTCACTATTGGTTTTAATACTGTAAGAAAGTGATCAGTGACATCAGTAGCTCAGATACACTACACTCTATTAACTAAGTAAAGGTGTGTAAAGTGTGAAGTCCCAACAGAGTAGAACATCTGTTTGATAAACAGAAAGCACAACAGCATGGGATTGCATAGTGAAATGCAAATAACATACTGGAAAATGCTGGCTGTAAGAGGGCCAAAGGAGAGATTAACTATCATGAAGCCTCAGATTGTTGCTATTTGAGGCTCTGAGCTATACAAACAAAGCTTAATTAAAATAGACAGTAGTATATAGCCATGTGGCCACTATATGCTAATCATATTTCCGTAAAGTAATTTGATGTATGGTTAGCATTCCCCTCCTATTTTAATATGTTGATATGCAGCACTCATTGAGAAACTGCAGAACCAAGAAGTTGTGAGCAGTAGGCTCTCACCAACTCGTAAGCATTACCATGCTGCTGTTCATGACAGATCTCCATCTGTATAACAGAAGCAAGGAGTCTACCAAAGCCAATTGATCCTCAAAGTCATAATGGTTAGCCATTGATAAAAAAAATAAGTAGCAGGTGTTAAGAGGTAATTGAACAGAGAAAAATATAAAAGATGCAGGCCATTTGGGCTGCAGCAATATCTTATAATGCATAACCTTGACTCTGAATGCCCAAGTACTGGTTAGAATCAATAGGTTTGTTAGTTTGTCTGAGGCAGATGCACTGGTTGTGCCCATTCCTGAAGAATGTATGCCTGGCTGTGGAAACACATCTATTGATTAAGAATGTGAAACTTTTGCAGTCTTGATCTTATTTCATTTCTCCAGATTCTACCTACAGTCCTCTTCCATCCTTTTGCATCATATTTTAAGATTACTGGCAGGGGGATGTGTTTCACATGACAATGTATGTACATTGTTATACATTATTTCTTGTGTGTACATTTATTTAGACTGAATAAAGTGTTTTCACACATTTTTCAATTACATTTTTGTTTCAATTTTAATACGTGCACCTTATTTTTGCACACCACATAGGTCTCGGAAATGTGCAGGTTTTTGAGAAGTATTGTACTTCTGATCCCAGAAAATCTTATGGTTTGCCAGTTTGCTGTTTTCTCTGTGAGAGCCAATCCCATTCCCACCTTGGTTATACCAGATTCTGATTTCTGAAGTATACTCTATACATAACGGCATTCAAAATACTTGGACTGTAATATTTGTGTAAAGAAAAGATGTCACTTCTTTCTCAAAAATGCCTCTATTGGCTTCCCACTTGCTTCTCAGCAAAATTCAAAGTGCTCAATAATGTTTAAAATCATAAATGGTTTGCATCAGGATAGCTAAAGATCTGCCTTCTCTTGTAGGAACTTGCCTGCCTACTGAGCTCATCCTTAGAATCTTTCCTAAGTCACAGCATAGGCAGAAATACCAGAAGGAAGACCTTTTCCATATGTTCCTAGGTTTTCTAACCCTTTTCCAAAGGACATGTGTTTTGCTAACTACTACTCTTTTAAGAAGGGATTTCAGTGATAAATGGCTTTTGTATTAAATTGAGTTTAAACCGTTTCTGGATTTTGAATATGGTAACAATAGAAGTATTAAATTAATGTCTGCTGCTGTTTTGGGGTTTAATTGTTATACATGTTTCAATTTAGTTAATTTCTGGTATATCTTTGTCGTTGAGTGCTTTACATTCTGTTTCAAATAAAGAAACAAATCTATCATATTAAGAGTATGTCTTTGGGTGGCAAAGATATTCCTCTGATGAAGACCAGATATCAAATAAACCCACAATCCCGTGCTCAGAGCTTTCTGTCCTGTATTTAGAGACTTTGGGACACATTCATTTCCTCAGAAAGGGTTTCTGGGAAACTCCCCTCTCAGGATTTAAGACCTATAGCCAAAGGATTACTGTATGTGCCATTGATGCACACAAGTCGTGAGCCTTTTCAGATCTGGCTCTGCATCTGTGCCAGTCATCCTTTGAATCTCTGGCTAGAGATCTCACCCATTTTTCGTAAAGAGTTGAAGATGTTCTTTGATTTGTAAATTAAGCCATTGAGTTGTGCCTGATGCAGCTGGGTTGTCTAGTAGTTGATGGGATGTTTGGGGTTTTAGATACAGTCAACTTTCCATATCCATGGGTTCTGTATCAACCAATCATATTTGCTGTATCAACCAATCATATTTGCTCAAAAATATTCAGGAGAAAAAATACAAAGAGCAAACTTTATTTTAGCTTTACTAATGTATATGCATAGCTTGTTGTATCATCCTGCCATTTCAGTTACTCTCTTTGGCACTCAAGAGTTGTTCCCTGTTTTATATATGCCGTTTTACTACACCAATTAGTATAATGGGAGAATCCACACATTTTGGTATCTGGGTGGGTAGAGGTCCTCAAACTAAATCCCAGCAGATATTAAGGGTTTACTGTATATTTATAATTTCATGTTTTAGTGTCCTTGACTCTGGTTGTATATGTTTGATGTTCTGCCCTTTGGAGGAAAGGATGCTATGAATAAGTGTTAGCATTGTTGTTGTCATTCTGTTCTTGTTTTGGGAACAGAGGAACTTTTGGGAGGGGTGTTCCTCACTCTAAGTCATTGAGAATTCTGTAGTCCAGAATTTAGATGCTTTGCTAAATTATTAAAAGGAGCAACACCGATTCATCATACTAAGCTGCTGCTTGCAACATTAAATCTATAATTTATTTATTTACTGCATTATATACCACTTTTCTCACCCCTTGGGAGACTCAAAGCCATGTACATCAAGTAATGGCAAGAGTCAATGCCAACATATATACAAAATCAAAGCACAGTAACTAAAACAATAGCATAACCATGAATTAAACCATTAAACTCTTGTTAAACATAGAACATAAACAGACATTTAAAACATTAAAACATAGAATTAAAAACATCTTAATATAACATTAAAATCTCATAATCCAGAATCGTAATCTGAAGCCATTCCTATTGTCAATTGCACTTATTCCTATTCATTTCTTGTACTGCTGTACTTTACTGCATGAAGGCTTGGTCCCATAGCCATGTTTTACATTTTTTTTCTGAAGGCAAGGAGGGAAGGAGATGATCTAATTTCACTGGGGAGGGAGTTCCACAGCCAAGGGGCCACCACTGAGAAGGCCCTGTCTCTCATTCCCACCAACCATGCATGTGAAGGAGATGGGACCAAGAGCAGAGCCTCCCCAGAAGATCTTAATCTCTGAGATAGTTAAAAGGGGGAGATGCGTTTGGACAGGTAAACTGGGCCGGAACCGTTTAGGGCTGCTAGTCCTCTGACGCTTAAATCCACATTTCACCTGTTTCTTTAAAGTTGATAGTTATGCTCATGCCAAATATCTTCTCTTTCTCTGTTTCAGAATCAAGAAACAAATAAATTTTGTCCAACATAGGAGGATGCCATTTCAGTGCTACTTTCAGATTAAATACAAATGGATATTCCAGCTGCTGCAAAACTCACAGGAAGTAAGGGAAAATACATGGATTTTCTCCAAAGAATGGCATTCAACTTGTATTTTCACCATCTCTATAACATCAGAGAAAACAAAATAATGTGACACATGTTCTTGAATATGTAGGAATTGGATGGCCATTTTATTTGGCCTGTAAATGTCATATTTATTTAGCACTGAGGGAGACAAATTCCCATCTGTAACACAAGCAGAATTATTTGCCAGGGATGTTTTTCATTTGTTGGAATCTTATGAAAGAATTGTCTTAATTCACAGCAGTTTGGACTTCTACATATTTAGATTTTTCTTGGCTTTCATTTGCATTGGCTTAAAAGCACTGTTGAAAAATTGCAAATATTTTTCCTCACATAATTTAGAAATGTTACCTGTATTTTTTTAAGTTTATGAACAGCCAGTGAACAAATGTAAAGCTGATGTTCTTTATCAATTATAATACATCATTATTGGAATTATAATAGATCAATTAGAAAATAAAAGGTTGCTATTTAAATGTGGTCCATGAACTGCTAGGTGATCATGAATTCTGTGTTTTTAACTGTTGGATTATTTTTTTCCACATTTCTCCCCCGCCCCCCCCCATGTAAGATTGCCCTTTTATTCATGGACACAGCATAACATTGTGTGGTGTCTAGAAACATCTGTATTCAAATATCAGTTTTAGATCAGAACCTCAGTTGGAATAATGACTGCCCTTCTATCACAGAGAATTAATGAGTCTATAAGGAAAATATATCAATTTTTCCCCCCATTATGTTGGTAAAGCCCACAGACATGGGGTTGCTAAATTTTGGGAAAAGATAGAAGCACCTTCCTATAAAGATTTCTTGGAGAGCATGTGCATGCAATTGAGGTTATTTGTTGACATACAAGAAAAGAGACCAATATCTGTAACCGGATGATAGATTTATAGGAATGGCCCTCTTTCTAAACTATAGAAATGAAAAGGTAATTTATAGTTTTTTCCACATGACCATTTGTTCAATTATAGTAAAATAATAATAATAATAATAATAATAATAATAATAATAATTTTTATTTATACCCTGCCACCATGAGGCTAACACGAGGCCAAGCCCAAAAAACACAATACAACACAATAAAATACAGAATGTAAAAACAAAACTTGCATAAAAATAATTACAGTAGCAAAACAAAACAATAAAGCAAATGAACACAATATAGAATTGAACAGGATGGGAAGGCCAAATGGACAAGATAAAATGATAAAACCCTGGGTGAGGTAGGTATAGAAAATGTGTAAGTGAGGTGGGCCCAAGAAGGATAAAACAGTGGGGTAAGGCTTTCAGTTTAGGGCAGGGGAAAGTGCATCATAGGGGCAACACTATAGATGGGCACACAGAAATGGGATAAATGGTCACTTTCCAAAGGTACAACGGAAGGAATTAAAATATAATTCCTCCTGTTTTTCCACATTCTTTTAAAACTTCTTTTAAAATTAAGCTTGGAAAAGAGGGGAAAAGTTTGGTTTCTTTTTTCTCCAATTATTTCCCATTTTGATGTAATATTTCTATGGTAAGTTCTAATTATGGTGTTATATGGGTGATTTGATATAAAATGAAAGAGGTTGTCCCCAGTTATTCTAGACCAATGCACTTTGTTCCTCATTTGTCACTGAATTGTATATCCTGTAGTTTCGGGAAACCCTGAAGTAAACCTACTGATTTCAAAAGGACTTAATCCATCTTAAATGTCTAATTATAAGCAACATAAATCTAGAGAATTTATATCTTACTGTGTGTAAAAAAAGGTTAACATCCAGGTTATTGCGCACAGGATTGCAATTCTATTGTACAATAAAATGACTTAGATTATTTCCACATGCCCTGAAAATATGAGTCTGTGCTTACTAAGTTCTACACTTTGGTTTATCTTTGTATTTCAGCCTACCTAATCTCTCAGTGAAAACGTTTTCCTAGGTGAATACTCTCTCATGCATGCAGAATACTAACCAAGAACAATGATATCAAACCAATGCCTATGTAAACTTGTCAATATAGTAAATACTATTTCTAGCTGGAGCAAATTACTCTGGCTCCAACTGTTTTGTTTGCACAGAAGCCCTGGGTGAGAATACATGGAGTGCTAAGATGAGCAATGATTACCTGCAGTCACAATCATTCCTACTTGAATATTCCTTTTGTGAGGGAGAGCAAAAGCAGAGCAGTAAATGTATCCACACAAATACAGTTATGCATTGCTAGACTAATTTAACAAATTCATTAAGACTTTTTTAAAAAATCCACAGATACACACACTAAAAGTGAAAATGTGTATGTGTCTGGGATGTCCACTTACACAGACAAGCTCCTGCCTCCACAAACAGCTATAGCTCCCACCACTCAGGAGACATCAATGCCCCTCCCTCTAATGACATTGCAAGTTATAGTGAGCACAATGAACATTTACAGGAGCCCTGCCAATGTCCTCCACAAACACAATACTGCCCCCCACCCAAGTGAAGGCTTTCATAGGGGGACTATTTCATCCTAGATTTTATGTTTTTCTCCACCACAGAAATCCCAGTGTTTCTTTTTCTCTCTCCATTTATGTGGAATTTGCATGACTCCGCCCACTGCCTCACCCATAATCTTTTCCCACTCTTTCCTATGGCACACAGCAAACACAGAGGAATTGATCAGCAACTGCTCATACTGGCGGGGTTTGGAGGCCTGACTCAACATGATGGAAGTTGTAGTTCACCCTGCATCAAGACAAAGCACTGTGACCCCTACCAACAATTGACCTAGACCACATTCGTCACACAGAACTCCCATGACCAAGACAAAATACTGGAGAGGTTTGGGAGGAATTCATCTTGATTTATAGGAGTTGTGGGTACAGAATTTATAGCTCAACTGTAATGAAAGAACATTCTGAACCCCACCTACAATGAACCTGCAACTAACTTGGCACACAGAACCCTCATGACCAACAAAAAATACTGGCAGTCTTTGGGTGAATTTATAAGAGTTTCTTTCACCTACATCCAGAGAGCACTTTGAACCCAAAAGCCAATAGATCTGGACCAAAAATGCCATGCATACCTGATACACCCAAATTGTGTCCCCCACCAACAAAGGACCCGTATCAAACTTGGCACACACAACCCCCATGATCAACTGAACATACTGGAGAGGGTTGGGGGGGGCTGACCTTAATTTCTGGGAGTTGTAGTTCACCTACATCCAGAGCCAATGTGATCACCACCAACAATAGAAGAGGACCAAACTTGGCACACACAACCCCCATGACCAACTGAATCTGCGGGAGGGGTTTGAGGGGATTGACTCGCCATAGTGGGAGCTGCAGTTCATCCTGCAACCAGAGACCACATGGCCCCCACCGATGATACATCTAGAGAGCAAACTTGCCCAACATGACAAACTTTAATTACTGATAGAGTTTCAGGGGGTTAACCTGTCATAATGTGAGTTCACCCACAGCTCTAAGTTCCTTTCAGAGTCCTGTTCTTCAGATACCTTGAGCTTCAACTCCCACCATTTCCTAGCCATCAGTAGTCACATTGGAAAGTCTTGTGCAAGATCTAGAAGATGCCAAGTTAGTAAAAGGTGGATTACCCCCTCAGTATTACAGAATACACCATCATTCTCACTGGTTTGTAGGTAGTGTGTGTAATTTGGGTTTGCAGTCATTTAAGCTGTAATGTTTAGCTTGGAGAAAAAAAGAAGGCTGAAAGAGGACAGGATAACCATGTTTAAATAATTGAAAGTATGTCACATTGAGGAAGGGCAAGCTTGTTTTCTGCTTCTCTGGAGACTAGGACACAGAGCAATGGGTTCAAATTGCAGAACAAAAGATTCCATCTAAAATTAGACGAACTTCCCGATGGTAAGAGCAGTTTGGCAGTGGAATATGCTGCCTCTGAGTGTGCTGAAGTCTCCTTCTCTGAAAGCTTTTAAGCAGAGGCTGGATGACCATCTTTTGGGGATGCTTTGATTCTATGTTTTTGCATGACGGGGTTGGGTTGGATGGTCCTTGTGGTCTCTTCCAACACTGATTCTAATCTTTTATCTACCTGCCTAATAGAAAGTACCACTGAAATCAAGTGGACTTCTGAGTAGATATGTAAAATTACAAAACTAATTTGGTTCTTATGCTTTTAAGAGAAACAGCTCTTTCCCTGACTTACGTGGGCAATTGATTATTTTAAAATAAACATTTCCTCTTGCCATCTTTCTACTAAAACCTGATTATTAAACCATCTCCGGACAGATGTTACCTGGGTCTGATTTTTAGGTGATGAAAATCAGTGTGGTATAGTTTACTTTCCATTAATTGATTTGCAGTGCCAGCTATTTTGACATGCTTTTAACATGATAATTTATTCCTGCCATTACCGATAATAATACTGTCAAGTCATTAGAAATCATTGCATTTCACTGAACCAAATGGGCTTGCTTCCACATTAGCAGAGAGTCACCAGTTTCAGGCACAAAAACTTTCTGTAATATGATGTCGAAACCTGAACAAGAAGTAGCCAAGGACCAGGAAAGAAACTACTTTTAATTACAGATAAACATCCAGCAACAGGGTTTCCATTGAAATCAGCAGTGGGGAACATGTGGCCTTTCCGATGTTAGTGAACTGAAACTCGCAGAAGCCATAACCAGTATAGCCAATCATGTAGAATGATTGTTGTAGTTTGACAACTTTTGCAGAATCCAATGATTCTCATCCTTGCCATACTGGAAAACTATGCCACCCATTCTCCTGTCTTTGACAACCAACCTCTTTACTCATTTATGCATTTTTTATTTAAAATCATTCCTATCCCACCTTTCCTGGCTCTATATAATGTTACGATTCCATTTTAGCACTCATGGTTCCATCTGAAGGAATCCTGGAATCTGGTATTCAGGGAGATATATTTAGTCTTTTCAGCCTGAGAGCAACAGGAGCCCAAGCATGTAGCTATGAAAAGTAAAAAGTGACATAATTCTACAGTTGTGTACAGTAAAGTCTTATGTACCACATATGCTGAGATTCAGGTCACTTGACCCCTGTGAAAATGAAAAGCTATTAATTTTTTAGATATGAACATGGCCATATAGCCCGAAAAAACCTACAACAACTCAGTGATTCCAGCCATGAAAGCCTTTGACAATACATTGTTAATTTTTTATTCAGGCAGGTTTTTAAAGATGAACGTTTTATAAAGACTGAGCCAGAGAGTTCTGTGAAGTGTTTAAAAATCCCATGTGAACAGGATTTTAAGGATTGTAATGGTTTTACAGTTTATTTTTAATAGTTTCAATGTTTAATCCTGTTTTTAATATTCGTAAGTTTTTTTAGATATTAAACTATATATTGCATTGTTTTTAGTGCTTACTACCAGCTTTGGCTGATATGCTGGCTGCACCGCTTCCTAGAGTCGGAGGACCTCAATATGGTAATGCGTGTGCTGGTAACCTCAAGGTTGGACTTCTGTAATGCACTTTACTTTGGGCTATCTCTGTACCAAGTCTGGAAACTCTAATTAGTTCACAACATGGAAGCCAGATTGGTTACTGGAACATCTAGTAGTGAGCACATCACACCCGTACAAATGAGTTTGCCAATGAGTTTCCAGGCAAAGTACAAAATGCTGGTTTTGACCATAAAGCCCTACATTGTTTGGGGCCAGATTACCTACAGGATCACCTTCTCCTGTACAATATGCTTCAAACACTGAGGTCTTCTACTCCATCCTGCCAGAACCTGACTGGCAGCCATCACCTAGAGGACCTTTTCATTGGCCACCCCAAGACTGTGGCATGACCTGCCAGAAGAGCTCCAATAGCTAAACAGGCTGCAGCCCACAAAAGCTTGTGGTAAACACAACCTGTTAAATCTTCAAAGTACCACTACATTCTGCCTCTTTTTAACAAACTCTGTGGTTTTAAAGCAGGGGTGAAAATCATCAAACCCTCCTATTATTGTTGGAATGCAATTATTATCAGCCTGAGCTACCATAACCAACAGTGAGGAATGTTGACAATTGTTGTTTAAAGCCAACTATTTTTGGATGGTGAGTCAGCAATGAGTTAACAATCCTAGAGTTCAGTGGTGGAGAACCTCAACCCTGAGGTCAGGTCTCTGTGGGTTTTGCCAGATAATCACACACTCTTTCTCAATGCATCCTCTTTCAATTGTTTCTTACCTTTTAAGGTATTTTCCTATTTTTAAAATGTGAATTAAATCTTCTAAGGCCAACCTACTAGCAGTGAAAGCTGTAGCCCGAAATATTCTGGCATCCAATTGTATTTGGTCCCACTCACAACTGATACGTAGCTGCCTCCCAACTGTCTAAAATTAAATCCAGTCCACAGGATAAAAGAAGTGACAGAGAAAGGACAGTTTTCCAAGACTGTTTGCTTTCTCCCCCTGCCCCACCCCAGGATGGTTCAAATGTCCCCGAAATGCAGTCTCATTGTGTGGAGAACATTCCAACCACGTTTGGAGGCCTATTTAGGATTAACAATATTTTTGTCCCCCAAAGAACACAAAATGACCTCTGGGACACATTTTCAACACATTTTTACAACCCTCCCATTTCACATGAGGTCTGAGACAAGACTTTTTGGAAAGATGAGGTAAGCAAGAAGCGACTGCTAATTTCCTGTTGTTTAAAAAGACCTTTTGCAAGCCTAAAATGTCACAAAATATGGTGGAAATACACTTGTGTCCTCTACCGAGCATTTGGGAAAAACCCAATTTATTTATTTATTTATTTATTTATTTATTTATTTATTTATTTGCAGGAGTGGGTGAAATAGGGGGAGTACAGTTCTCCAAAGTCTCCTAGGGGGGGGGGATAATACAGCTCTCTAGGTTTCCATAGTTAACTGCCTCTGTTTTAGTTAAGCTGTTCTCAGCTTTGAGCCCTCCTAGATGTTGAAACCTAGAGATCTGCGGTCAGCATCACTAGGGAGAACAGATGTAGTACAAAACGTCTGCTGGATACTGAATAGAAGAAAGCTAATTCAGCAAAAAAGGGCAGGAAGAGAAGCAACCACTAGAGGGACAATATGCTATATATTGTGTTTCAGCAAAAAGGATTTAAGCACAGCTTTTTTCAAGTGAAGCTTTACTTTGGAAGGCAGTACTGAAATATGTATAAGACACTTTAAATTATTATTATTATTATTATTATTATTATTATTATTATTATTATTAGAAACACAACAAGATTAGTACACAGCAAACAAGATGACTATGCTGGCTGTTGTATTGGATCACACATCGGTCATGTCCCAAGTGTCTAGGACTATGTGATGTATCGGCAATATTATTATTATTATTATTATTATTATTATTATTATTATTACCATCATGTGCACTTGATGAACATTGTATTACAATGTATTACATTGTAATACAATGTTCTGGTTGCGGATGGCACGATAAATAAAATAATAAATAAAAATACTTGATGAACAAAATAATGCTGGTTTAAAACAGAATTACTTTTCTCAAGGACTTATTCCTAACCTTTGTCACATGAAATAATTTCCCATGTTAACATCATTACAAGAGAATTTTTCACACTACCATCAATTTTCTGTCTCTTTCTATCAGTAAGAAATTTTCCTTCAGGGCAAATGTGTGGAAACATCATAGTTAATAATGAACCTGTTTAGATCACACACACACTTATTGTACTGCAATCAAGAGAGGAAGTAGAAAAACAGGAGGTGTCGGTCAGAAATGTATCCTCTGTAGCAATTGAGGATGAAAGCAGTTCTAAAGCCAGCAGTGAACATGCTACGGTAAGGGTGACTTTTCTGTTAATTAATAAGGAGACTAAATATGGGAAGCCTGTAAACTTTATCACATAGTGCAAAAAAAAAAAAGCATTCTCCATCTTTCTATGTCAGGGACCATGACTGCTCACTATGAGACATTCAATATTTGCTCTGAGGAAGCTTCCATAAATAGAAAGATCACAGAGCATTCTAGTACCATTATCAAGCCACCACTGCAAAATTCCATGTATCACAACTCCTATTGCTTATTACAAGCTATGACACCAACTCCTTTAACTTAGGTAAGTCTATCCCAGTCTTATCTATCAAGAAAACTAAAAATCCTAGCTCCAGAAGTACTCTAAAAGAAAATTGTCTCATTCACTGCCAGCCAAAATGATGTAAATGGCTTCAGGTGACAAACTGCTTTATCAATTATAAGTACTTAGCTGTGAAAAAATAAAGGGGTGGGGGTGAGATCTGTTTGCATTAGTCTCTGGTTGTCCAGTCTTGATGCTCGTAAAACTGTTTAAACAGAACCTTAGCAGGTACACTGAAAATACGACCCTGTGATTTTTTTCCGTGCCTCTCTGAACAGGAACATTAACTCAGCGAGCAGTGAGATCAACCAGGTTGGCTCTACTAGCCCACCAACAGCCATGCCCCACCTTACAGTGTGCAACCGGCCACTCAACTGGACTCTGACCCTAGTGCTGGGGTATCTTTTTTACCTTCTTCTGGGAGCTATGGTGTTTCAAATGCTAGAAAAACAGGCAGAAACCAAAACCCGGGACCGGTTCCAAATTGAGAAACTCAAGTTCCTCCAGAACTACACATGCTTGGATCGACAAGCCCTGGAGCAGTTTGTGCAGGTAAGAGAAATGAGCATCCGGGAACCAATATTGTGGACATCTACATTACGCAGTTAAAGATATGAGATGGATGTATAAAGACTTGATTTGGGCCAGGGGTTGGTTTTGTCCACTTTTCAGCCCATTTAAGAGAGGGGTTGAAAATGGTTACACAAACACAAGGGAGAATTCTCTCCCTTTCTTCCTCCCATCCAGCTGTTCTCGATGCATCTTTAAATAATCATTTCCTCCTAATTCTGTCTTTTATCCCATGATAATAAACATCACTGTTAAAAAAGTATCTTAGTAAGGAAAAAGCCTCTCTGCAGACTGGAAGGCTTTTCACAGTTCTGAACACTAAAATATATATATATATATCTGTTATCCAACCCTGGTGAGAATTCATATAGTTAGTGGAGGCACTCCTCTACAGAAAGCCCCTAAACACTATTTTAAAACATCAATGGAAAGGATGATACAGAGGGAGGGCTACCATGCTCTCCCTCCTTAAAGCATTTCTGCTACACATTACTCGAATGTGAGAAAGGGCTTTTGTCACAATCTTGCAACATTTGATGTATAAATACATTATATTATAAATTTCATTTTAAACTCTAACAAATTATGTAATTTAACCCTAATTATCCAGACACGTGAGCATCCTTAGATCATTCTTCTTTTCCCTTGTAAGACTATTCCCATACAATGTCTTCGTGTTTTACAAATCTTTCACATTATTTTATAACCAAGGAGATTTCCCACACTGGAAACACTAGCATTTCTTTTCTTTGAAAAAATATCAAAGGTATCTAACAAAAACCTGACTTGAAGCAACTCTTTCTTCTCCATTAGATCTGAATAAGCAAAATATTGCCATTCAGTGCACCAGCAGCCCATGATCTATGCAATGGCAATTAGGCACTCCACTCTTAGAGCAGTGGTTCCCAGCCTTTTTTTGTTTTTGTTTTTTTTACCAGGGACCACTTGACCAGGGACCATTCTCCAACATTAGTACCCAAAGGCTTACGAATCAGTTTTTGGTCAACTTTAGTTTCTGTTTGGTTATTTGGGGCCCTGATTCAGAAAACTGGACTCGATAGATCACATCAGCTCTAGTTTCTGATACAGAACATATGCCATCAGTAGTCACTATTTGCTCGTCCACAGAAAATCATATTTAATAAGACAAGTCATTCTGGTTGCAACTGTGTAATAACAGTGAGGCCACGGATCATATTTTAGTTCTTATGGACCACAGGTTGGGAACCACTGATTTAAAGCATGGGCTCTAACTTAGAGCATGGGCACTGAAAAGCAAATTGCGGAAATATTAAAGGCAAAAAAATGTGATTGAAGCATAATATCTATCAGATGGATTCTGGACAACTTAAGTAGACTATATAACTCATTACATGATCAAGCTACCATCAAAATATTTTCCCATTATGAAGTTACTAGTTGTCTTTAAAACTCTAATCCAATATACATTCCATTCATTGATCATGATGATTGGAAACCTTCAAACTGAACAATTCTTCATATTGCATGGAGGAAGTAACACCATCACCCAGAGCTCAGACTTTGCCTTGGCTTTGTTATAAAATCCTAATAAAGCTTCATTTCAAAGGTAACATCGTTCATGAAATAAATGTTTTTTAACATAACAAGCATTTTCTTGTTATATTTTCAAATGATTTTCATCAACCTTTTGAAGTAATTGGATTTGTTATAGTGCACTCTATTTTTAAAAAATCATTTCTTAATTCTTGCCTGCAAAAAAAGGAATAAATAACTGAAAAAATTATCTTCTCAAATGGAAATGAATAAACTACAATGAATTACAGTCTTTAAACCCTGGGATCTACAAAAATGCTAAAATGTTGTTGTTTTTCATTTTCAAACATACTACTCAATTCCTTTTCATTTTTATGCTCTCTTAGTCTTCCATTTCATATTTGCACTGATCAAATATTCCATATAGAATTTATTTATGTCTAACGTGAGTGTGGGAAATACTTGATTTTGATCTAGTAAATTCAAATGCTGGGGGTGAGGGACTCCATGAGGAAAAAAAATATTTTCATTTTAAAAACAATTTTAACATCCATTGGGGAAAACTCAGAGAGAGTATGAAAAAGTGGTGGCTCAAGTCTTCAAATGACCATTCATTTGCGTTGCACACATTAATCAAACTGCAGAATGCTAATATTTCTCCCAGCACTAGGTTTTAAGGAAAACCCTCTGTATACTTTATGAAGTTCAGCCTCTGAAAGGAAAACATTTTCTTCTATACTGCATAAAGAAACATTAAGCAGAGTCAGAATGGTGCCAAAAAGAAACTTAGATCAATGGTACGGACAAAGCATGCTGTGCAGCTCAGCAAGCTTTCCCTAGCACTGTGCGTACTGAAGGAAAACACTAGAGGGCACCAACATTTCAGAGATGTTAAAAGCTTGAAAATATCTCAAACTTATCAATAAAAAAATCAACATCCTATATGAGTTATGGAGTTATAAAATAATTTGCAGGCTATCTAGACAACATATTCTCAAATTTCCCACATGCAATACCTTTCCACCTGAGAAACCTTTATATGATCCTAGGTGTATAGATTTATGAAATGGATATAAAAATCAAATATTTACTGAGAATAAATAAGCATTTGTGAAACTTACTATCGAGGCTGATTTTCCTTTTTGTGGAGTACAGCTGAAGGATTTTCTGCATAGTTTACTGGGAATGCTGCAGTTTGTTGCTAATACGTTTGTGTAAGGTGGTGTTCAGCGAGACCTTTTATTATTGCCAAATTTTTCATGACCCAGCAATGAGATAAGGGGAACTCATTTGGGGTCCAGACCCACAGTTTAAGAAGGAATGATCTAGAGCAGCCCCAAAGGGAACCATAATATGGTTTCACATGTGCTATCCCCAAAAACAATGCTTGCATCTCTTTCTCTGGCATTGTGGCATTTCATCCAAAGAACAAGGTGACACCGTGATAGTGTAGTCTATCTTGTTTTAACAGTGTCAAGAAATGGGTGTCAAGTATATGTAGCAAGGGCTGAAGAATGGCTATACAATTTCCATCTAAAATTTATATCTAAAATATGTTTGCTTCTTGGAATTCTTCCTTTAATGACTTGGAAATCTTGGCAAACTATATTAGATTATAAAAGCTCTTGGTTTAGGACTCCCATTCCCTTTTGATCATTGGCTGTCAGAATGGATGGCAGAGTTGCATTTCTTTCTCTAAACAAAGTCAGATCCTTGGTTCACCCAAATGGCCTGCTAATCTTTCCTGTGTGACCGACGAAGCAATTCCACTTCAATCCCTGTCTCTCTTCAAGATATTCAATCATAGAGTTGGATGGAGCTCTCTGAGCCATTGAGTGGAACACCCTATGAAACGCAGAATCTCTAACTAAAGCATCCCAGCAGGTAGCTATTCAGCATCCTTCTTTGGAGATATCCAGAGAAGAAGATCTCCAAACAGAAACAGAAATATAGTTTCCTTTAATCTAAATGCACTTAGATACCAAACACATATTATAGGTCTGTGTCTGCCAACACAAAGACAACATGGCAGGAGCCATCCTGGCTTTCCTAATCTGGAAATTCCAAAACCCGGCAGTTGTCAATGATAGAATTCTCTATTATAGTGATGATAATAAAAATATTGTGTCAAAAGCGAGTTGGGGATACAGTTAAAATGCATTTAAAAATACAAACAAAGATTCTTAAAAACTTGGCATTATGCTAAATGTCCTTTGACCAGAAGCTGGCCACTTGGTGTGCCTCTGGTGTCGCTGTGAGAAGGTCCTCCATTGTGTATGTGGCAGGGCTCAGGTTATATTGTAGCAGGTGATCTGTGGTTTGCTCTTCACACTCGCATGCCATGGACTCCACTTGTGGCCCCATTTCTTAAGATTAGCTCTGCATCTTTTGGGGTCAGAGCGCAGTCTGTTCAGTGCCATCCAGTTCACCCAATCTTCTGTGTGCCCAGGAGGGTCTCATCCACTCTCAGCCACTGATTAAGGTGCTGGGTTTTAACCTGCCACTTTTGGATTCTTGCTTGCTGAGATGTTCCTGCCAGTATCTCTCTTGAGATTAGGAAGCTGTTTCTTGATTTAAACCATTGGCATGCTGCCTGATGTCTGAACAGAGGATGGGCTGGAGATATCACTGCCTTTGTCCTTTCATTATTGGCTGCTCCTTCCTGACAGATGTCAGGTGGTGCAATACCAGCTAAACAGTATAATTTCTTCAATGGTGTGGAGTGTAGATACCCTGTGATAATGCGACATGTCTATGATAATGATCATGATAATGATAATATAATGATAATGATAATTATAGTAATACTTACCTGCCTCTCCCCACAGGCTTGTGGTGGGGTACAATTGAGTTAAAATACAATAGATAAAAACATAAATCCATTTAAAATAAATTGATTGAAAATACAGATTAAAACACAAATCAAAATCACTTATATCTATATAATAATAATTTAAAATTCTTAAAATTCATGAGTGATCATTTCTCAGCGCCATGGAGCTAAGAGAGCCTTGTGTCTCAGTAAGGAGGCCCATTCTTCTCTTTTGGGGGAAAAGGGGGCAGGAAGGAGAGGGTGGCATTTCAGTTCCATCTTTCTGGGCTGCTAGAGCCCTTAGAGCCTGGGATCTTCACAGCAGAGAGCAATAACAGAAGGCAATCCCCCAGGACCCATACTTGGAAGACCCAGACCTTTACGGTAATTTTTTGGACCCAGAAAAAACAATAACAGGTTTATTCTGGATTAAAACACATTACCCTGATGTGTTGTTTGGATATCCCAAGTTAATGTAACTACTATGCCACTTTATTTAATTTTATTTCTATCCCATCTTTCTCCATACTATGTGACAGTTCAGATGGGCTCTAAGACATAGACAAAAAAATCTAATGTGTAGCATATGTTATAGTAGTCCAACTAGGATTGAGGCATCTGCTTGTCCAATTTTATGGGATTCTTTTAGGCTTGTTCTTCCTGAGACCGTGGAAGAGGTCCTTGGAGCCTTGAGGGTGACCACTTCGACTCTAGACCCTTGCCCATCTTGGCTAATTAAATCGGCCAGGGAGGGGTTGGTTGATTGGTTTGTGTTGATCATTAATGCATCGTTGGAGCAAGGGATTTTTCCATCTAATTTGAAACAGGCTGTGGTTCGTCCACTCCTCAAAAAGGCCTCCCTTGACTCCACAGTGCTGAACAATTAATCTCCAACCTCCCTTTTTTGGGTAAGGTGCTGGAGCGGGTGGTCGCCTCCCAGCTCCAGGGCTTTTTGGATGATATCAACTACCTAGATCAGTCACAGTCTGGTTTCAGGCCTGGTCACGGCACCAAGACAGCCTTGGTCGCCTTGGTGGATGACCTCCGCAGAGAGCTGGACAGGGGGAGTGTGACTCTGTTGGTTCTCTTGGACATCTCAGCGGCTTTCGATACCATCGATCATGGTATCCTTCTGGGTCGTCTCTCTGGGATGGGCCTTGGGGGCACGGTTCTGTCGTGGCTGCAGTCCTTCCTGGATGGTGAAGCTGGGAGATGCTTGCTCGGACCCCTGGCCTTTGACCTGTGGGGTCCCGCAAGGCTCTATTCTATCTCCCATGCTTTTTAACATCTACATGAAACTGCTGGGAGAGGTCATCCAGAGTTTTGGAGTTGGGTGCCATCTCTATGCAGATGACACACAACTCTACTACTCTTTTCCACCTAATTCCAAGGAGGCCTCTCGGGTGCTGGACAAGTGTCTGGCCGCTGTGTCTATCTGGATGAGGAGGAACAAGCTGAAGATCAATCCCGACAAGACAGAGGTCCTCCTGGTCGATCGCAAACCAGATTGGGGTATAGGGTGGCAACCTGTGTTGGACGGGGTTACACTCCCCCTGAAGCCACAGGTCCGCAGTTTGGGAGTCCTCTTGGATTCATCGCTCACGCTTGAGGCTCAGGCGTTGGCGGTGTCCGGGAGGGCTTTTGCACAATTGAGACTCGTGCACCAGCTGCGACCATACTTCGTGCAGGCTGATCTGGCCAGGGTGGTCCATGCCTTGGTCACCTCTAGATTGGACTACTGCAATGCGCTCTACGTGGGGCTGCCCTTGAAAATGGCTCAGAAATTCCAACTGGTCCAATGGGCAGCAGCCAGGATGTTAACTGGGGCTCCTTACAGAGAGAGGTCAACCCTCCTGTTCAAGGAGCTCCACTGGCTGCCGTTTATTTTCCGAGCCCAATTTAAGGTGCAGGTGCTTACCTTCAAAGCCCTAAATGGTTTGGGAATATCCTACCTGCGTGACCGCATCTCCGTCTACGAACCCACACGTTCACTTCGTTCATCCGGAGAGGCCCTGCTCGTGATCCCACCTTCGTCGCAGGCACGCTTGGTGGGGACTCGAGACAGGGCCTTTTCCGTGGTGGCCCCCCGACTCTGGAACACCCTCCCAAAAGATCTTAGACAGGCCCCTACATTGGCAGTCTTTAGAAAGAACTTGAAGACCTGGCTTCCCAGATTAGGAATCTCCAATACCAAGTCCCAGAAGCACTTTAGTAGAACTAAGATTGCTGCACACCGCACACTGCACTTACCTTATAATCCTACATACCTCCTGCCACATCAGCACTTTTAATCTTGTATCCATTACTCTGGCCCAGCCCAGTTTTATAGTGTCTTGATGTATTGTGTATTGCTTGTTGTTAATATTGCTTAACTGTTTTTAATTTGCTTTAGGTGTTGTATTGTTGTATTGTGTTTTGAGGCCTTGGCCTATGTAAGCCGCATCGAGTCCTTCGGGAGATGCTAGCGGGGTACAAATAAAGTTTAATAATAATAATAATAATAATAATAATAATAATAATAGGATTATTATTATTATTATTATCATCATTATCATTATTTATACCTCACCACCATCTCCCGCAACGGGGACTCGGGACAGCTTACATGAGGCCAAGCCCAAACAGCAAATTACAATACAGTAAAATACAATAAAATAGGATGTATTTGAGGCACATGTCACTATAACCAGATCTGACACCTTCAGGAATTGATGCAGTTAGGGCACTAATCTTCACTGAATAGACTCCTGATCACCATGTAACCTGGTCATTCAAGTTCAGGGTTAAGTCAAGGAGTTCATCCAAACTTGTGAAACTATGCATTCAAGAAAACTATAACTCCTCCAAGACAAATTTAATCCCTTTATGCCTTCAATTGTTTTTTTCCTCAGGTCATTATGGAAGCTTGGGAGAAAGGTGTAAATCCTGAAGGAAATTCTACTAATCCCAGCAATTGGGATTTCAGCAATAGTTTCTTCTTTGCTGGAACTGTTGTCACCACCATAGGTAAAATCAGCTGTTTCTTGTTGGTTTTTTTTAATGGAAAACTCTCCTTTTTGAGATTCCACAGTGGTTCCAGTAAAAAGTTGAATCATGCATGACTGACAGTACAAAGTATTTATGACAATGTTAGAACAGTCTGGGATTTTGAAAGGTGCATTTAAAAAGCTATATATTCAGTCAACACCCATTTTTACATGTACCTTTTCCATGATTAATTGTCTAGATGAGCAGATATATATAATTCATGTTTAAAATCTAATTTTTGCATGCTCACAGGAGTCTCAATAGCAAAGCATGAACCAGCTAAGATAAAGATTTTCACATCTATTTGATTTCAACAAGTGACCAATCAACAGTGTTAAATTGCGTATGTATCATGGCCTCCATCAATAGCTTGTGCTAAAAGGCAAGGGGAAGAATCAGTCTCCCAATAGAGAAGTATGTGATATACAAGATGCACATTAGCTGCCAAGTATTTGGGAGCATAAATCTTGGAGCAGGAAAGCAAATGTGGTGACTTTTTATTTCTATTATTTTACAGGTTATGGGAACCTAGCCCCCAGCACAGTGCCTGGGCAAGTGTTCTGTGTATTTTATGCCTTGTTTGGGGTGCCCCTTAATCTGGCATTTCTCAACCAGCTGGGAAAAGGGCTCAGTGCTCATCTCATCAATCTGGAGACATGGTTCCATAAACCAGGTCGAGCTCGGGTACAGTTGCTCCTTTACCATTTTATGTTTTCATTTCCTTTTCAAAGGGTATTAATCTATCATCTCTGTTCAGATGGGAATGTCACAGACTCATTACAGTGTATATACCTTTTGCATCTTTTCCTGAGTCCTGGCCAATGAGGATCATTGAGTTTTGGACCTCAGGAGGTCAATAACCATCTATACCAGTGGTTCTCAACCTGTGGGTCTCCAGATATTTTAGCCTTCAACTCCCAGAAATCCTAACAGTTGGTAAACTGGAAGTTGTAGGCCAAAACACCTGGGGACCCACAGGTTGAGAACCACTGATCTATGGAGAGCTATGAAGTTCCAGGAGACACATTTACACACTCATCAGACACTCAAAAGCAAACAAAAACAAATAAACCTCTCAAAGAACCATATAATCAGAGCTAAACATCTTCCAGAAGGGAAAAATCAAACTGATCCAAGAATTGCCTGGAGGGATTGATTATCTATCCTTCAGAAGATCCTTCTGATATCTCCAACTTACTTGGCAATTTTGTTTTTGTTGAAAGACATTTGTAGAAAGGATGGAGGGGGAGTCTTGATTCCTCACATCTATTTTACATCTTCACTAAAAAGGCAATGTGTAAACTGGGCATGCTTCTGTAGCCCCACAATCCTCTTACAAGTTAATTAAGCATGGAGAAGTTCTGTGTCCTCTTTTACTGAAGGCTAAATTACAAGCAGAATTGAGACAGGGTAGCTACACAACCCAAGCTGAATTGCTTTTGGACTGCAATTCAGCAGACACTTACTTGGAAGTAATCTCCAGCAAAACCCAATGAGACATATTTCTCAGTACCATTATAGGTTACATGTAGAAAACTATATGGAGACCAGGGGCCAGTTTCCCCTCAAACTCCACCCTATATTCCACACTCCCAGAGCAAACCCAAATACCTCTCAAAATGGCAATAGGAAATGACATGTCACTTCCTCTCATCATTTTGAGAAGAGTTGGAGTGAAAAATGGAGGTATTTGCAGCTAGTCTAATTTTCTGGGATCCTTGTGGATGAAGTGGAGTTATTTTATGTTTTCTCGTGGCTTTAGGGCCTTTTGCATGATTTGATGGCAACACTACCAACGGATCATTAAAAGTGTGGGAGGTTGGGGGACTTTAGGGATGCCCCACACCCCTGCTAGCAGTGAATAGTGTTAATTTCTCCGTATGTATCATATGTCGAAATGCTGGAACAAGGATACAAGATTTAAATTTCACACAGCATCATTCCTAAAAATTCTACAGATGATTCATGGCCTGTATAGTGTGCTTTCTAGGTTTAAAGAAATGCTTTAGAGGAAACAGTAGCATGAGTATTTGCCATCAACAGGTTTTTCTTCTTTTATTTTTGATTTAGTAGAGGGGAAAAGTTCCTACCAGTCAAAATCCATGTGAATTGGAGCTCTTGGTCTTGTATGATTTGTCTTCCAGAAATTGTAGTCAACTGCAAAAGAAGACATGATTCCATCACTTTTAACAGCTGTACAGAAAGGGGGATTTTAAGCAGATGAATCTTGAATGGCAACTTAGTTTTCCCTCACAACATTAACATTGCAGATTTTTTGATTCTGGCCACCCTAACTCATTACCAAAAAAGCTGCACATAAATGCTATTGATATTAATTTTATCACCAATCCTGTTCATCATCTTCCCAATTATTTTCCATCTTAATAAGACTTGGCCACGGTAGTCCTCGCCTTAGTCACATCCTGTTTGGACTACTGCAACACTCTCTATGTGGGGCTGCCTTTGAGGATAGTTCGGAAGCTACAGTTAGTGCAGAGATCGGTGCCTAGATTGCTAACTGAGAGGACAAGTCTCATGCTGCGACAGCTCCACTGGCTGCCGGTCCACTTCTGAGCTAAATACAAAGTGCTGGTTGTTACCTATAAAGCCCTAAATTGTTTGGGTCCAGGCTATTTGTCTAATATCATTTCCCTATACTGACCATCCCATGCACTGTGATCAACGGAGGAGGCCCTCCTCTCGGTCCCACCTCCATCACAAGCTCATTTGGTGGGAACGAGAGAGGAGTCCTTTTTAGTGATTGTTCCCCTTCTCTGGAACTCCTTCCCTACAGAACTAAAAACAGCACGCTGTGAGCTTCAGCCCAAAGACTGGAAACGTCAGCATGGATTTTACACTCTTAAATTAATGTAGCGTCCTTCCGAAGAACAATCTATTCTCTCTTTCTTGTGGCTAGGTCTTAATAAATATATTGATAGATGATTATGGTGAAAAAAGAAGAAGTAAAAACAGCCCCCAGCCTCCTCTCCTTTAAGAAACTTCTAAAAATGCACCTATGCACTAGCGTATGGAGAGGAGGATGACTAAAACACTTTAACTACTTGGAATGCTGGCTAGTCCCATTTGTACTATATGGCTGCCATGTTACATTTCAAATGAACATCGGCATCAGCCATTTTTAATGTAACTGTATTTTAAATTGCTTTTAGGGTATTTCTTGTAATGTTTACTTATGTTTTCATTAACTATGCCTTATTGGATTGTTTTGTTTTCTTTTTCATCACAATGCTTAATTCTTTGTCATAAACTCACTGTTATTACTGTTGCTTTATTGTGTATTATTTTGATACGCTTGTACTCACCTGAAGCAGTGAATGATTGCCTTTTTCTGTGTGTAAACTGCCCTGAGTCCTTCCGGGGAGAGAGGGTAGTCTAGAAATAAATTATTATTATTATTATTATTATTATTATTATTATTTGTTTAATCAGGGTTACTCCCGTCTCTTGTTCTCAACAGTGGTGTTGGTTGCCAAGAATCTTGCCAAATTTGTTACTTATTTGTTTTCCATCAGTTCTTGAATTTTACTCCCCATCTTAGCAATTCCTACACAGATCTTCTTGCTTCTTTTTCTCTTATTTATTTATTTATTTATTTATTTACTGCGCTTATATACCGCAATTCTCAGCCCCAAGGGCGAATCATTGCGGTGTCGGGCGACTCATTGTCTTTTGGCTTCTGATTAATGCTCTGGATTTAACCTTAGGAATGTAATCCAAATTGTTCATAATTTGGACTAATGCCCAAGACTCTGAGGAAGAATATATATATAATACGCAATTCAGACTGCAATGGCAAGAAAGACCAGGGGGGAAAAAAAATCTAAACATCAGTATTTGGAATGATTTTTTTTGAGGCCAATAGGTTTAATCAAGATACAATTGAAACATCTGATTAAGGCAAATTTAACTAAGCAAGGATGTTAATACACTATCAACTCTATCAGATAGATCATGTCATTCTAAACAGAAACATGGTGCCACTGAACTGCTACTTTCCTTCCTTTGTTTCTTAGGTGATTCAGATCCTGACAATGGGGTTGTTTCTGATGGCGGGGACTCTGCTTTTTCTGGTTTTCCCCCCAATGATCTTTAGTTATGTGGAAGGCTGGAGTTATGGAGAAGGCTTCTACTTTACTTTCATCACCCTTAGCACTATTGGATTTGGAGACTACGTAGTAGGTAATGGAAAATTTGTGTGATTAATTTCTGACTTTGAGAGTATCTCTGCCACAATAAATCTTAATTAGGAAGTATGAAAATTATCACAGTGAAGGTAACATACCTGTTGAGTCTCCCTGTAAGTGGCAACTACATGCTTTATTCAAGGGGCAGTTGATCAACAGTACTGCAGAAATTGTTTAACTGCAAGGTGAGGAATCAGAGGAGTTATAGTCCAACAAGATCTGGAGGTTGGAATTTGCCACCTGTTATCTCTTAATTCGGTCATTAGGTATGTCAGTTAAGAATTAATATTTAGTATGACTTATTTATTGTAGGATCCTTATTGACAGTAACAAATCCATACTAGGCAGCAAAGGTTCTAACAGGAAGCAAGGCTTCCTTATTTGTTTTTATGATTGGATGGAAGACATCCCTCTTTATGCATATCAAAACCCGAAATGAACTTCTGTTAGATTAGTGGTTCTCAACCTGTGGGTCCCCAGGTGTTTTGGCCTACAATTCCCAGAAATCCCAGCCAGTTTACCAGCTGTTAGAATTTCTGGGAGTTGAAGGCCAAAACATCTGGGGACCCTCAGGTTGAGAACCACAGTGCTAGGTTGAGATCTTGGTATCTTGTAGGATGAGCTCAAAACACCATATAATCCAGCATTCCCTTACCAGTGTTGACTAACTAGAAACATCTGGGAAGTCGATATGTTGGGCACAATATTGATGATAACTGCATAAAGGACACAGGCAGACAGTGTGATCCAGAAGTGGTAAAATGAAAGAATTCCCTTCCCCAATATTTATTTTCTTCAATGAAATTCTCCTTCAGTCCCAAAATTTCTATCATTGCAGTGAGAGACTGAAAATTGTCCACACCAGAACTCTTATATCTTCTAAATTTGTATTCCCTTGATAACTTTGCCTGCTGCTTTTCTTTAGATGCTTAAACTTTATTTCTAAATGCTCAAATACAATTTGAAATTGTTGCTATGCTAGAAATATTGGGATGAAGGGAAAAAATGGGAGGGGCATGATTCTTAATGGGCCAATGCAATCATTTTTGCTTTCCTGTCCCTCCTCCTAATCCCCCATATTTTCATCCTTGGTATGACCTGGCCAAAAATGATTGCTGCTGATTCGACACATCTACACACAGCAAGGAAATAGCGTGTGGGTGGTACTAATCTAATCATGAGGAAATGTTGTGCAAAATGCTGTACTACTAGAGCCAAGAGTGCTTCATATTTATAACCAGGGGAAGCGACTGGTTTCTTTTATATTTTTATAGATTCTTCCTCAAAGGAAACAGCAGGGTATTTCTTTTTTTAAAAAAATAAACAAACAAAGCAGTGTGATCTTCTCCCTTAGTCCTTTTTTGAAACCGTTATTTGTTGTTCCTTTTATATACTTCGGGGGGGGGGGGGGGGAATGCATAATGCATGCAGTATAGACAGCCTGTGATAAAAGAAAGTGATCTTGTAGCACCGTTGAGATTGAGAGAAAGAAATTGGTGACATGAGCTTCCAAAGGCTTAGCTCTACTTTATCAGATGCAAGGATGTGGTGCCTAAGAACAGACATGTATAGCTATGAATTAGCAAGTTTAATATCTGAACAGCATATATGTTGCATATATACCTTATAAACATAGTCAGAAGATAACTTTATACTCAATATTTTTAATGATTTTATGCATGAAACCAAAATTGTGTACATTGAATCACCAGAAAACAAAGGTGTCACTATCTCTGCGGCCCATGAAAACAATTTTGGATTTTGGAGCATTTCAGATTTTGGAATATCAGATAATTCAACCTCCCCCCCCCCCCCATGTTAATGTAGATGTACAAACATGAGAAATTAGTGTTAGGTTTGCACAATGGTTGTCTAATATATTCCTTCAAATTAAGCAAAGCCAAAACTTATTTGGGGTATTTTTTATTTTCTCCTAGGTACCGATCCAAACAAACACTATATCTCAGTGTATAGAAGCCTGGCAGCAATATGGATTATTTTTGGCTTGGCCTGGCTTGCTCTGATCTTCAATCTGGGAGCTAACGTGATGGAAAAATTTGTACATCTCAACTGGCAAAATCATGACATGGGCACTGGAGAGACAGCTGTCGCCAAAACAGAGGATAATCCTGACCCACACAGGATCCATATCCCCAGCTGAGAGTGGCTCATGGAAAAGAGAAAACCTGTTATGTCCTCTTCCTCATGGTCACCAAGCAAGGTTTATGGGTAAGATAGACAGCATCATATGAGAGGAAAGAAATGTTTTAGCCAGAAGAGATGATGCTCTTTTAGTTTATAGAAAAACAATGTAAGATGAACTTAAAATATAATTGCCTCATGCTCTTCAGCAAACACCACTTTTACCTCCCATTATCTCCTGTGGTTTAGATTTACTTTGGAGCTACTGGGAAGGAACAGGCTACATCATCCCTGTTGTCAAACTCTGTAGAAATCAGTTTTCCCTCCAAACTTGAAATGAAGGAAAGCAAGAAAGTAAGAAACAATCTCCATGTGCTTCCTTGTTTTACTCAAAACAAACTTTAGTCTGAAACCTCTGAAACCTTTCTGCCTTTTGGAGTAGAACAAGCTCGGTACCAATTGAGAAAGAATTTGCAGGCAAATAATAGCTCCATCCCCAGCTTTCAATAATGGCTTATTTTTTTCCACTACTGAACAACATGCTACTTGCCTCTGTCATCTGGGCCTGTTTTACTGGTATCAGCTACTATTGGCACAAGACCTGCTCCAAACAAATGGACTTCTGAACACTTGATGTGTCATTTGAGGCAATTTTGTCTCAAGTTACATATTTGGGGGGGGGGGGTCAGCATGGTGAAAGTATGACTGTGGTCACAAGTAAGCACAAAACATTGGTTATCTTTGGTTTGTGTAATCACCATCCATCCTCAAACTGGTTCCAGAATTTCCTATGTAATAATCTGCACAGTAAAATCAACTTTTATCAATATCCGTTTGAAACTGATTGAAGTGGTCATTGTAGATGTACCTCAAGTCATTTATTCTTCCTTCACCTTTCTCAATTGCAGAAGCCCCTTCCACACAACTGAATAAAATCCTACATTTTCTGCTTTGAACTGGAATATATGGCAGTGTGGACTCAGATAACCCAGTTCTAAGCAGATATTGTGGGCTTTTCTGCCTTGATATCCTGGGTTATATGGCTGTGCAAAAGGGCCCAGAGATGCAGTGAGTAAAAGAAAGAATGAGATATGGAATATGTGTACTTGAGGGAGATTGTGTGAGAGTGAATATGCATAAAAGGGTTTCTGGAAGGAGCACAGGGAGGAGCACTCATGGAGTGCCTACTGCTGTTATGTGGCCTCCACGGTGTCTCCATGGGCCAAAAGGCAGTTCTGTATTTGTATATAGTCAAAGGATATTAACAAAGTTTTAGCATCATGCTATACGTCACAAAGCATACGGCCATTTATAAAGGAAGGTTCTTCCAGATATGAAACAGTTGTTTTGATGTATTCTTTCTAATAAAGATGGCTTTCTACCATCCCGTTTTATTGTCAAACCCAAATTCTTTGTTTTGACATCATCCATTCATAAGCAATCTGCTTTCACTTGCCTATCATCTAGTATAGTGACACCATTTCTCTTTCTCCTGGACTATGTTTTAAAGATACTGAAATTACTTTATATAGGGATCAACAAAGCAAAATGTAGTCCTTTTCAACAGGCAAGTTAATATACAACATAGGTTGTTGAATAATGCAATTATCCTTAAGCAATGTAAAAAAAAACTCCTTGTTCCCATTGTTTCTTAAGACTGACAGAACAACTTTTATTAATGATGTACTTTATTTGTTTATTGTATTTGTATCCCATATTTCTCCTGATAGAGGGTCTCAAGTAAATTTAGTCACTATGAACATTGAACTGATTGATGTGATCTATCATTTGTTTAAGTGGCTTAGATTGATTTTATATATCTATGAGTCATCTTTGCAATCAATTCTTCTATTCTATCATCTATTTTTGATATCAATATCACAACCACCTCCTTTGGAATATGCTGTTACCTCCTTCAATATTATCTAGCTAACTTTTATAATGTAAAATGTGATGGTCAAGAAGTGCCATTTTTATAACGAGAATGTGAAACTAATTCTGTGTCCTTTCATACGTTGTATGCTTGTTGGAGATGGAGGCAGGAGTTGTCTTCTGCATCAGACCACTGGAGTTGGCCAGATATGTCTAGCCGCCTCTGCAACTGTTTCTGCTCCAGACCAGCCTTTGCTTGATCAGCCAGTGTAGACTCACCCTTAGTAGAATACTCAAATCACTATGTCATGTTTGCTCACTAATGGCTACTAAGACATTCTGAATGGTGACTGCAGTTACTGGATGCTCTCTTCTCTCCTTCTACCCATGTGACTTCCTGTCTTGGAGAAGTATTTTCAGTCATATGTTGGGCAATTATGGGACAGCATGTGCCAAGAAAAATGCTCCCAGCATTGAAGAAAACCTGGCAACAGAAGGTAGAATGGGCGTGCTTATGTGGATTGCCCCCTCCCTTCTTGTGGGCTGAAATTCTCTGTGAGGTTTTGATGAAGGGGGGAGTATTTTCAAGGCATGAATGGTTGAATCTAAGGATGCAGAATCAGTGAATATGGAGTGCTGACTGTATAGCAAAAGGCCTTTACAATGTTTGGAGTAAAACATGAACAAAACTAAAAAGTTACTAAAACATTGAATGTAATTTAAAAACTATTTTTACATATTTCCATTAAACCAGTGTAGAAATAATATTTACATCACAGCATATTCCTTGATGAGAGGCAGAGTGCTACAGTTGTTGGAGTTCTGGACCACCACTCTGGAGACCAATTTCAAATCCCCACTTGGCCATGAAACCCACTGGGTGACTTTGGGCAAATTACACTCTCTCAGCCTCAGAGAAAGACAATGGCAAAGCTCTTCTGAACTCACTTTGTCAAGGAAAACTTGTGATAAGTTAGCCTTAAGGTCACCATAGACTGGAAACCACTTGAAGACACACAACAAACAACAAGGTTCTTTAATAAAGCAATCATACAATGTATTGGTGATCAATGTGAACTGGTCTACTGAGTACATAATAAACAGCTGTGTTAGGTAACAATTTTACTACCACGTGTAGTCTGTATATAACAGATAACAGCTGTCATAAAGTTTTGCAGAGCCAGAATAAAAGAGACAGAACAACAAGTAATGAGTAGTGTAATCAAATGGATTACAACCAAAGACACATTTCTTTCAGCAATAGGTGTGTGGGTTTTGAGCACTGAATTAAGATTCAGGAGGCCAGGGCTCGAATCCCCAATCAACCATGAAAACCTTGGCCAAGTCACAACCTCTCAGCCTCAGTGAAAGGCAAAAGCAAACCCCCTATGAATAAACCTTGGCAAGAAAACTGTGTAATAGATTCTCATTAGGATGCCCATAAGTTGGAAACTATTTGAAGGCACACAACAATAACATTAGAATACAGGTTGAGCATCCCTAATCCCAAATGCACGAGACCAGAAGTATTCTGTATTTTGGAATATCTGCATATTCACAATGAAGTATGTTGGAATCACAGAAGAGACCCCCAAGGACCATCTATTCCAACTCCCTGCTGTGCAGGAACACACACTTAAAGGCTTCCCAATAGAGAGCTATCCAAGTGAGATTCATTGATGTTTCGCGTACACTTTATGCACACAACCTGAGGGTAATTGTACACAACAATTATTTTGTGCCTGAGCCAAAGTTTAAGTACACTAGATTATCAGAAAAGCAGAGGTGTTACTATCTCAGTCATGTATGTGGATAATTTTGGAGGATTTTGGAAATCCAGATGAGAAATGATCAACCTGTACCGTGAAATCTCTCTTCAGAATATGCAGAAGGTATCTGTCAAAACACTGAGGACTGAGCAAAAGTTAGAACTTCCGAAGGCTCTGACTTTGTGTGAATGATCTGATCCAATGTATTCCTCTTGGGAGCCTAAAGTTTGGGCAAGGGTGCATCTACACCAAGCATAGGCAAACTTGGGCCCTTCAGGTGTTTTGGATTTCAACTCCCACAATTCCTAACAGCCAATAAGCTGTTAGGAATTGTGGGAGTTGAAATCCAAAACACCTGAAGGGCCCAAGTTTGCCCATGCCTGATCTACACTGTATAATACATGCAATTTGACACTACTTTGGCTTCCTGGTATGAAACTATAGGAGTTGTAGTTCAATGAGTCACCAATACTCTTTGGCAGAAAAGGCTAAAAACCTTTTAAAATGGCAACTCCCAGGTTTCCATAGATTTGAGCCATGGCAGCTAAAGTGGTGTCAAATTGCATTCATTCTACAAGCTATAACTCCCAAGTTTGTATACCATTGATAGTTAAAGTGAGGTTTATTCATTGCACTGTGTTCATTCATTCATTCATTCATTCATTATGCTGGGGTTGCGATGAGTGGGATTTGAAGGGGTGTGATATCTAATTTTTACCTATAATTGTGTTTTTTTATCTTCACATTTCATGACACAAAGCTTTAATGATTTTTAAATGATCTTCATACTTAACATGCTTTGTTTTTACTTGATACTCTATTGTGTCATGTACACCGTCCGCTGCCTTGAGTCCCTATGTTGGGCGATAGGATAAAAATAAAGTAAATGATCTAGGCAAATAAATATTTACATAATAACATGCGTGCCTCTTTAAACATTAGACAGCCCACCCTTTATTTCAAATAAAAATAATCATAAAATATCCATTTATAGAAATCTGTAATTGCATTTAATGTATCCTGGCAATAACACTAGATAACAAAATTTGAAAAAAAAATCGGGTTTGAAAGTGTTATTTCCTGTTTAATTGTGTGGTACTTATGATACTTTGAAATTGATTTTTATACTCCAGACACTTCATTTTTGTGGATGCCACAAACTACATTGAATTGGTTGAATATGAGACATTTATTCATTGAAAAACTAGAGCAAAATATGTTGCAGGATGTCCTGCAAAAATCAAAGTTTTTGCAGTTTTAAAAACTTTCCCCATGTTTTTATGATAGAACCAATTAGGAAATGAACTTTATAACCCAATAACAAAATTGTGTTACATAGTGTGTTACACACACACACACACATATATGTCATCTTCCCTTGCACTTTGCTATTCTGCTGATGAATACACATGCTCAGTGTGGAATACATCTCACCACGTTAAAACATGCTGCATTATCACAGGATGTCTATGCCCTACACAGCTGGAAAAATTATATTGTTTAGCCAGTATTGCACTGCCTGACATCTATTGGGAAGCAGCAGCCAATAATGAAGGGCCAAGGCATTGACATCTCTGGCCCATCCTCTGTTCAGATATCAGCCAGCATGCCAAATGTTGTAAATCAAGAAACAGCCTCCTAAGATCTACAAAGATACTCACAGGAACTTCTCAGCAAGCGAGAGCCCAAAAGTGGCACGCTAAAACCTGGAATCTCAATCCATGGCTGATACCAAATGAGAAACTCCCTCCTGGACACACAGAAGACTGGGCAATTTGGAAGGTGCTGAACAGACTGTGCTTTGGCATTGTGAGATGCAGAACCAACCTTAAGAAATGAGGCCAAAAAGTGGAGACCATGACGTGCAAGTGTGGAGAAGAGCAAACCACAGACCATTTACTACAGCGTTTCTCAACCTTGGAGTTGGGACCCCTGGGGAGGTCACGAGGAGGTTTCAGAGGGGTTGCCAAAGTCCAAAGTGACGTTTGGGAGTTTTGGCTGCTGGGATTTGTAGTTCATCTACAATCAAAGAGCATTCTGAACCCCTCCAATGATAGAATTGAGCCAAATTTCCCACACAGAACCCCCATGCCTTGAAGGACTCACTGGTGTGAGCCTCCCTCCAGCCTCACACACTCTCCCTCGCCCACACATGTGCACTCCCTCGCCCACACATGTTGCCATGTGCCAAGAAAGCCTGCTCCTCCCTACTTGGAATCTCAGAAACAGCCCTCCCCTTGCCTGAGAGGCTGGCCAATCACAGTGGAGGAGGGCTTTTGGTGGAAGGATTTACCATCTGTTTCCAAACAGGAAAAGAAGGACAGGCAGAGAGATCTTCAGCCTTCTCTGCCAAAGGGGTTCTTAAGACCATCTGAAATATATGTTTCTCCAAACTCTACCAGTATTTATATTTGGGCATATTGAGTATTCGTGCCAAGTTTGGTCCAGATCTATCATTGTTTGAGTCCACAGTGCTCTCTGGATGTAGGTGAACTACAACTCTAAAACTCAAGGTCAGTGCCCACCAAACTCTTCCAGTATTTTCTGTTGGTCATGGGAATTCTGCGTGTCAAGACTGGTTCAATTCCATCATTGGTGGAGTTCACAATGAACTCTGATTGTAGTTTAACTATAAATCCCAGCAACTACAACCCCCCCCCAATGACAAAATCAACCCCCCCACCCACCCACCCACTCACCCGTATTCAAATTTGGGAGTATGGGATATTTGTGCCAAATTTGGTCCAATGAATGAAAATACATCCTGCATGCCGAATATTTGAATTACAATTCATAACAGTAGCAAAATTACAGGTATGAAGTAGCAACAAAAACAAATGGTTCTAAAAATGTGATAAAGTTACAATTAAAGTTTTTGAGAAATAAATGTGTATATGTGTATATATTTACATACTGTATATCAGGCCTGGGCAAACCTCCAGGTGTTTTGGTGTTCAACCCCCACCATTTCTAATAGCCTCAGGACCTTTCCTTTCCCCCCTCAGATGCTTAAGGGGCCTGAGGCTGTTAGGAATGGTGGGGGTTGAAGTCCAAAACACCTGGAGGCAGGCCCCTAGCCAGGATTTTGTTTCGGGGGGGGGGCTGAGTTTGGTTTGGGGGAGGGGGGGGGCTGAGTCTGAGTGAAAGAGGGTCTACCCTAGCAAACCTTTTGTATCGTTACCCCAATACCCCCATGCATATGGGATATATTGAGCATGGTGATCAGATCATGATATGAATAAACATAACAGTTTAAATAATGTACCAGTAAGGCCTTCTCGCGGACCACCATGAGAATTTCGGGGGGGGCTGAAGCCCCCCCCGCCCCCCCCCCCCCCCGGCTACATGCCTGCCTGGAGGGAGGGCCCAAGTTTGCCCAGGCTTGCTCTATAGTATATACTAGCTCGGGTACCCAGCGTTGCCCGGATTGTTAGAAGTCATTTCTTTATTTTACCAAATGCATAAGGTCATGGGTGTACTACAACTTAAACCATGTCAAGTTAACTCCCTGAAACTCCATCAATACTTTGTTGGGCAAGTTTGATCCAGATCAGAGTTTCTCAACATTCCCCTTAATCCCAGTTCCTCCTGTTGTGGTGACCCCCAACCACAAAATTATTCCTTCTAGATAGCCTTCCCGTTGTGGATGGGTCCCCTTAATAGTGTTAGAGCCAGCCACTGGCCCAGCTGCCTCCCAAAAGTCTTGGGAAGCCTTGGGAAAACTCAGCGGGGCTTGAGGGGGAGACTCTCCCTGGAACTCCGCCCCGCGAAGGAGCCTCGGCTGAAAAAGGGAGGGAGCCAAGGAAGGGGAAACAGCTGCAGGCTCTTCTCTGGAAGGGAACAGAAAGGGAGCCACCCCGCCGGCGGTGGCCTCGCTTCCCCCTCCTTCTTTCTCCTCCTCCTCCTTCTCTTCTTTTTCTTCCTCGTGCTCCTCCTCGGAGGTGAGAGGGACCCGAGATGTGCGCCGTGGACCACCCGCAAGCCCGGGCCTCCCGCAGGCTCCGCCGCTGCTTCCCCAGCACGCCGTTCCTGCTCCTGGCTTACCTGTCCTACCTGCTCCTGGGCAGCGCCGCGTTCTGGGCTCTCGAGTCTCCCGCGGAAAGAGAAGGAGCGCGGGAGCTGCTCCAGGAGAAGTGGGACCTCTTGGAGAACTACTCCTGCCTGGAGAGGGAGGCCCTGGAGCACCTGGCCAAGGTAGGCAGCAGTGGGAGGGCGAGCAGGTCCCAGTCACTGCAAGGAAGGAGGTGGGACACACACACACACACCCAGAAAGGAAGGGAAGGGTACCCCTTGGGCACATGGGTCAGTCTCAAAGCCTGGAGCCCTTCATGTGCTCTTATGTGGTCGTCCTGAAGCTGGACTACAACTCTTGTGCTGCTCTTCAGGACTAGAGCTGATGGAAGTTGTGGTACAAGGACATCTAGAATGCTGTAGTCTGTCCTGTTCAATAAGAAACATATTTTTTCTTTATTACCTGCCTCTCCTGATGGCTCAAGACAAGGTACAACAAATTCAAAAACACAGGAACGTAAAATATATACAATAAATGGCATAGATCAAAACGCAAAAGTATTTTAAGAAACTGCACCAAACACAGATACAGAATTAATATATCATAGCAATAGAACGTAGGGGTCGCAGTGGCACAGCGGGTTAAACCACTAAGCTGCAGAAATTGCTGACTGGAAGGTCAGCAGTTCGAATCCACGGGACAGTGTGAGCTGCCACTGTTAGCACCAGCTTCTGCCAATCTAGCAGTTTGAAAACATGCAAATGTGAATAGATCAATAGGTATTGCTCTGGCAGGAAGGTAACAGCACTACATGCAGTCATGCCGGCCACATGGCCTTGGAGGTGTCTATGGATATCACTGGTTCTTTGGCTTAGAAATGGAGATGAGTTCCACCCCCCCCCCCCCCCCCCGAGTTGGACATGGCTAGACTTAATGTCAAGGTAAAACCTTTACCTTTAACACGTGCACAATGGAGGACCTTCTTACAGTGACACCAGAGGCACTCCAAGTGGCCAGCTTCTGGTCAAAGGAAATTTACATAATGCCAAGTTTTTAACTTTGATTATGGTTTCTTATGTATTATAACTGTATTCTCAATTCACTTCTGACACAATAAATAAATAAATAGCAATTGAATGTAAATCACAATTCATGATTGAAGGTTGACCGAGTAGGCCTGCCGGTGTTCAAATGCATTTTAAATTCCGACATCTCATTTAACTGTTGGAGCTCTTCCTGTAGGTCATTCCACAGTCATGTGGTGGCTGATGAAAAGGTCATTTGGGTGATGTTTGCTTGTCGGGTTCCAGCTGTTTGGAGTAAACATCCACCAGAGGACCTCAGTGTCCTAAGGGGAGGATTGTGCAAAAGAAGGTGATCCTGCAGGTAACATGGATCTAATAATAATAATAATTATCATCATCAACATCCTTTATATGTATCCCGCCATGATCTCCCCAAAGATGATAATAGATTTCTAACAGGCTTGTAGACAGAGATACGTGAACCCAATTACCTGAACCCAATTCATATAGAAAGGGGCCAGAGAGGCCCTGGGCTTCATTCAACTACAAATCCCAGAACAAGTAATGTGATTAATGAGACCAAAAGGGAACACACAACCAAAGCACTCCTGACAGATGGCCACCTAGCCTCTGCTTAACAACCTCCTGAAAAGGAGATTCCATCTCCCCGCAAGGCAGAACATTCCATAGCTCTTGCCATCTAACATTTAGGTGGAATCTTTTCTCCTGCAATTTGATTCCGTTGGTCCATGTTCTAGTCTTTAGGATAGAGCTTTCCAAACATTTCATGTTGGTGACATACTTTTTAGATGCATATCATTTTGTGACACACTAATTCAGTTTTATTAGCAAACTGGGGGTTAAACGAAACCCTTTTAAATTGTAATAATGAAATGTATGGGTACACAACAAATCTCATGAAAACCTGTATGTTTTAAAATATTATTTTTGGCTTATTTCACATAGATACACAGGTTTTTTTGTTATGTTTGTGCAATGCACTGCAGCTGACAAACTAATGTGTCATAACACAGAGTCTGGAAAATTCTGCTCTAGGGTGCATCTATTCCAGGCATGGGCAAACTGTAGCCCTCCAGGTATTTAGGACTTCAACTCCCACAATTCCTAACAGCCAGTATACTGTTGGTAATTGTGGGAATTGGAGTACAAAACATCTGGAGAGCCAAAGTTTACCCATGCACGATCTATCCTGTAGAATGAATGCAACTTGACACCACTTGAACTACTACGGCTCAATACTATGGAATCAAGCGAGTTCCATTTTTATAACACCTCTAGATTTCTTTGTCAAAGAGGGTTAGGTCCTCACCAAACAACATGTCCAAAAATTCCATAGCATTGAGTCCTGGGAGTTAAGGTGGTGTCGAAATTGCAGCAGTTCCACAGCATAGATGCACCTGCAGAACGCTTCCTATAATAAAGCAAAGTTATAGCACTTCCATTCCACTTTAACTGCCTATATTACATTGTTTGGAATCCTGGGACTAGTAATTCAAGGAAAGACATTTATACTTTCCAGACAGTGGTGAAGTACTGTCAGTGCTTCACCAAAACCACAAATCCCATCATTCCATAAAGCAGAGCCATGGCAGGTAAAGTGGAATAAGAACACTGTACAGGTTTCCTACACATTGACAGATGCAACCATTCACAGCTTGAAAATACTAAGAGAACAAAATCCAAAAAAATAAACTCTGATTTTATCATTTGCTATAAGGAGCACCATATTGCTACACCATTGAATATCATGGGACTTGAGGATTTTGCTACCCACGGGGAACCTGGAATCAAACCTCCATAGATACCAAGAGCTCACTGTAAGTCTGTAGTTTCAGTGAGAGGTGGGCACTCCAAATACCTTGGCATCCTTCCTCACCTCCGTTATTTAAACTGTGGGCATTACTTAATGGGAGAATAGCACTTTGTGCACATTCAGGAACAAAGTCAAAATGGCTTCTGGCAGCTGTAGCCCCCAAAGTTATTGTGTTTGAGGAGATGTTATAAGTTGCACTAGAAGTGGCCCATCCTAGTAGGGAAAAGATTCATGCAAGACCCTGGACTGGAAGGAATTAAGTCCTATTGGAGAAATAGTAAATTTGTGTGGGGAGTTGATAAAAGCAGGAAAAACTGTAAGCAGATGATTCCAGTTCTTCATAGTTTAGAACCCAGGTTTGGTTGAAAGCACAGTGATGGTGCTGTCTTTAGATGGAGATGCTCTCAGATCACCCATGGAAAAGATTCTTCAAGAGATGCTACATGCGCGGACGCAACATGGTCCACTTTCCAATGAGCAACTGGAGACTGCTGTGATTCTTCAAAAAAAAAAAAAAAGGAAAGGAAAATTGGTTGCCTAGCTATGTTGTTGTTGTTGTTGTTCATTCGTTCAGTCATCTCCGACTCTTCGTGACCTCATGGACCAGCCCACGCCAGAGCTCCCTGCCTAGCTATACATCTGACTAATCCAGTGTGATACTTCTTGTGTTCTGAAGCAAAGGGAAGCATACATCATTTATATTTTGACTTTTGTGAGATGGGGGATGCATGGCTTGAGAGCAGTACATGTGAAAAAGATCTTGGGGTCCTTGTGGACAACAAGTTAAACATGAGTCAACAATGTGATGCAGTGGCAAAAAAGCCAATGGGATTTTGGCCTGCATCAATAGGAGCATAGTGTCTAGATCCTGGGAAGTCATGCTACCCCTCTATTCTGCCTTGGTCAGACCACACCTGGAATATTGTGTCCAATTCTGGGCACCGCAATTCAAGAGAGATATTGACAAGCTGGAATGTGTCCAGAGTAGGGTGACTAAAATGATCAAGGGTCTGGAGAACAAGCCCTATGAGGAGCAGCTTAAAGCGCTGTACATGTTTAGCCTGAAGAAGAGAAGGCTGAGAGGAGACATGACAGCCATGTATAAATACGTGAGAGGAAGTCATAGGGAGGAGGGAGCAAGCTTGTTTTCTGCTGTCCTGGAGACTAAGACGTGGTACAATGGCTTCAAACTACAAGAAAGGAGATTCCATTTGAACATGAGGAAGAACTTCCTGACTGTGAGAACCGTTCAGCAATGGAACTCTCTGCCCCAGAGTGTGGTGGAGGCTCCTTCTTTGGAAGCTTTTAAACAGAGGCTGGATGGCTATCTGTCGGGGGTGCTTTGAATTTGATTTTCTTGCTTCTTATCAGGGGTTTGGACTGGATGGCTCATGAGGTCTCTTCCAACTCTATGATTCTGTGTTTTCATTCCTGCTATTAAGCATGAAAGGTATGTTATTGGCCACAGGGAATACCAAGAATTTGGGCCCTGGATGATTGACACAAGAAAGGTAGGCTCCTTAATGAAACCAAGTAGATCATTGCATAGGCCAGTTGATAAAATACAGAATCCATGGAAACTGGAATAATGTGAAAGTTGTATGCAGTTCCAATTATGCCTCTGCCATGAAAATGAGTTTGCACAAATTGTTGTATTTCATACTCCATTAGCCTCAGGGCAGTATAGATTCAATCCTAAGTAAACTAAATACTTAGGCCCCTTCTACACTGCCATATAAATCCAAATTATCTGCTTTGAACTGAATTACATGGCAGCGTAGACTTATATAATCCAGTTCAGAGCTGATAATCTGGGTTATATGGCAGCGTAGAAGGGGCCTAAAGTACTCCATGTTCAGATGCCAAAGTCAGGCTGTATCACTCTCTGAACTGGTTCTTACTGCAACTACCTTTCCAGTGTTACTTTATATGGCTGTTCTAAGAAACATGTGTGGTTTTGGATTCTATGGATTTGATTATTCACAAATCTGATTTAATGTTTTCTCTAGGAATTTCTAGATCCTTCAATGCAATTCCAGTGGAAATTGTTCATAAGGTCATGCTGGGGGACTTAGAAATTCCCAGAGAAGGGTCTAAGGTAAAAATTGTATTTGAAGCATTTGTTGGACTGTATGAATATTTGCTCTTTCTTCTGAATGGGACAAATAAGACACTGAAATACATATTCTCAACACTAGATGATGTACAATGTACTCCCATATATAGAAGTTATCCTTATGAAAACATCCATGGGAAAATTTTAAATAGTTTACTGGGAAATGTTTTCCCTTCTGGCTTATGTCAGCTGTTGACAGGGGGCACT